GCGTGGGCCTCGGACCTGGCTGAAACCATGTTTTAAAGGCGCTGGCCTTCCACCAGAGCCCCCCCTTGGAAAAAAAAGCTTGCCAAAACCCTCCGATTGATAGCAACCTTCCGCCTCAAGCATCTCCAAAAACCAACTTGCCCGCAGACTTAGAGGGGTTCAGGGTTCAGGGTGTTGGGCGGGTTGGGGTCCAAGGGTTCAGGGTTCAGGGGTTTTCAGGCTGACTCTAGTAAAGGCTCGACATTAAGCCTAAACATTAAACAGGGCTGGANNGAAGTGAAGAAATTCCAGAGGTGGCCAAGCAAGATATGCTAAATCAAAGGCCTATGTAAAACACTCTGTTTTTCAAGCCTGCAAAGGCCTGGCCCAGGCAACCCCGCTGGCCCTATACTACGGACCAGGATTTTCTCAACCGCCAGGTTCCGCGGCAGCTCCGATCGAACTGCTGGGGTCTTCCGATCCCTTGAGAAGCTTCTCCGCGGGGGGCGGCACCTCTTTGGCTCTGGAATAAGAATCCCTCCATGCAAAAATCAGAAAAGAAGAAGCCACACCAACAAAAGAGTAAAAGGGTGCTACTGGGAGGCCTGGCCTCAAAGTCCTTGCCAAGGTGGGCTTGGTTCCAGCTCCAGATAAGGGCCACAGTCTTGTAGACTGTCCTTGTTCCCAGTATGCACATCGCCAGCTGCACTGTGGCGTAAACGTTTCGGCCCCCGTAGTCGACCAGAGATCGGCCTATGATGGGACCCATGAACCGGCTCGCTGTGACCGCCGTCAGCTGTCGCAACCGATACCTAGGTTGGCCCCTCAAAGCCTCTGAAAAATATTCGTAAATAAGATTCTCTTAAGCCCAATAAGGGGAAATATAAAATGTCCCAAAGGCCTACCTAGATACTCTGCATTGCTGAAGCTAGTGCCCTCCTTAGCTGCACGGCTGGCCCAGCCTTCGGCAAAACCGTTGGCAACCGTCGCACCAGTGTAAATAATGCAGTCAGCGATAAGCAACGTCCACCCCGGAGTTGGAACAAACTCCAGGAGGAGCAGACAGCCCATGATGGACGACGCTGCGGAGGCCAAGAAGACATAGGACTCCGTCAGCCAGCCTTTTAGCAAGGAAATCGTTGTGAAAACGGACATGATGATTCCCAGGGAGCAGACTGCAGTGAAGTAAATGCCGGCGATGTACGGATCCCAACCGTAGTAGATCTCCAACATCATGATTGTAGACACCTCCACGGCTGCCAACGTGAATGGCCGCTCGAAGGCGTACCAAATCATATTCCAGACCACCTGCTCGCGCTCCGGTTCACCCATGGCCTCGAGGTGAGCGTCAGAGATCATGACCAGGTCCTCCGAATCCTCCTCGTTCTCGTCCTTGTCCTCCGCAGCACAGTCAGAATTCCTTGCCGGCATCACGAAGGCGCCGAAGGAGGCCGAGATGAGGGAGAAAACCAAAAGGAGCAGGTTCACCCATCCCATCATGCTGCGTGGACTCACCCGCTCGCCCCCACCAGTCACACAAGCGCGTAGCAGCGCAAAAAGCCCGGGCCCAACCACCATGCCCAGGTTTCGGGCGCACTGTGTCAGGATCATCCAAAACGTTCGGTTCTTGGACTTCGTAATCCTCGGCTCTAGCCTTATAAACCTCCCCGAAACACATAGTACTTATGACTACAGATTTTTCCCTCTTAAGACCAAACAAGAGATCAACATATCCCAAACTGCCAATTAGAATCTTCGTCCAGAAGATGATACCCGGAATCATTGACAGGGGCGCGACAAAGGATCCCGCGCAAGACAAACCGATCATCACCCACCAGATCATGTAGACCCGGCTGCTGCTCGCTGTCCTTGCTCCCCGATCCAAAGACATAAACGGCCAATCCAGTGCTTTAACGATGTTTGCTAGGGCCCGAACAAAACGTCGAAAAGTTGGGTGCTGGAGAGCTAAGACGGCTAAGTCTCTCGTTAATGAAGATGGCGGATGCAAAGCTGAATACCGCGGCGATGAGCGGAACAACGACCAGCACCCGCCGCACGCGAAACTGATCCCAGTTCTCTTCATCCACGAGTCTTTTCCCAGCAACCATAGCGAAGACTCCTGTGATCACACCGCAGCTGAGGAAGAACCCCGAGGCCGTGGCTGATTGACGGAGGGAGAGAGCGAAATCCAAGGAGATTGGCACTTGCATTGACATGGCCACAAATGGCGAAGCGCTCCTCCATAAGTTCATCAGCTGACATGCGATGGACTTTTCTGGATTTTGCGGCTGACAGATTGGAACACCGCCACGGGAGACATACACTTCGTGAAGAAAGACGAGGACGAAGAATCCGGCGACTCCTGCGTAGACCCAGCTTGGGAAGTGCACTATCCGGGTCCCAAAGCGGCTGCGGTCGACGAGCTTCCAAGATGCCGATATCACTGGCCTCTCTGCAGAAGCAGAAGTCTTAGCTTCGAGTCGTCTATCTTCCCGCTCCTGGACCTGGTAGCTCTGCTGTAAGAGGCCTGGCCCCCACTGCGACAGGGACTCCTCGTAGCTCAGATCACACTGGTTCTGTGCAAGACATGGATAAAGTAGTAGAATGGCGACGAGGCGCATCCTAACGTCGTTTGCAAGTCGGTTCGGTCACACGGAAGAAGGGGGCAAAGGGGTGCTTGCCCCCAAGTACAGCTTGAGCCAACATGGCTCCTAACCAGCTGCGAGACTTGTACTGCGTGTTCGTATTGGCTTCTGTGTCGGCCAGGATTTGGCTTCAGGGGGCAGTTAAGTTCCATCCCCAGCCAGGATCTCACCAAAAGCCACCTTTTCACTGCATGACCCACGAAAACGAAGGCTACAAAAACCCCCAAAAGCAAAATATCCGGGTACCCAGAACAGATATCCTCCGCCTCAAGCATTAAACCATGAATCCCAAGTTGACCCTCATTCCTAAAGTGATGGACGTCTTTTGGAGGTCGACAAATTTCAAGGCTCGTCAGTTCAGACCGACTGCTTGGGGTTTAGGATTTAGTAAGCTCCGGGGTTTAACGTTTGTAGGGCTTGGGGTTGAAGGCCGTCTGATGCGGACCCAGCCACGATCAAGCTACGGTTTAGGGTCAAGCTGGTGGCAGATCAGCCTACTCCCTGTCGAGCAATACACTCCATGTTGCTGGCCACTCATTGGCCACGCTCGACTAAGGCAGCCTATGCTGAAGTGCTGTTTTTGCACTGATTTTTAAACATGAAGCAGTATTGGGCTCCGGGCCGACACCGAAGTTGATGAGCAGGAACGCCTGGCACCCGACCAAACACATGCATTGAGTGTGCGATCGAGCGTTTCCGAACTTTGAGGCTTGAGATTGCAACGTGCAACTGACTAACAGGGTTGCCAAGAATACACCAATAAACCCTAAACCACAGTCACAGCCGCGAGCTAGTAAAGTCTTGTTAGAGAAGTTTCAGGGTAACAAACATCCGTTAGATCTGGAGGGGTGGAAGAAGATGTCGAATCAACCTTTGCTATACATACATACATACATACATACATACATACATACATACATAAATACATACATACATACATACATACATACATACATACATACATACACACACATATACACATATACACATTTACACATTTACACATATATACATGTATAAATATACACATGTACACATACATATACATATACATATACATATACATATACATATACATATACATATACATACATATGCATGCCTACCTATCTACCTACCTACCTACCTACCTACATACATACATACATCAATGCATGCACACATACACACATACATACATACATACCTACCTACCTACCTACCTACCTACCTACCTACCTACCTACGTACATACATACATACATACATACATATATTACAGCCAGACAGACAGACAGCCAGCCAGACAGACAGACAGGCGAACAGACCAACTGACAGACACATGTGCGACATGTGGCTCCAGTTCGGTTAAAGTTCAGGGGCTTTCTGCTCAGCTACTTCCTAACCGGATGCTGATATGCAAACTCTTTTCGTAAGGGTTTGGGATTCAGGATTTCCGGGACGATGAGTTACGAACCCTGAACCCTAGACTCCCGGGCTTGGTGCAGGCCTTAGGGTTGAACTCAAACGAAACGCCTTCTTTCAGCTGACCAGCGCTCGCGCAACTCTAGAACCGTGCGCTCTGAAGCTTCAACCCCCAACGCTTGAACTCCGTGTCCTGAAAATCGGGAGGTCACGAACCCCGGGTTCTCGCCTTGCGGCCGGCAGAAATCATGGGCTCTGTGAGAATCGATGGCGCGTCGTTCGAGGCTTCGCCCACCGCCTGGCTTCGGTGTTTGACTGCCTCGTTTAGGGGCCTCAGCAAAACTTCACATTGTTTGATGAAAGCTGTATAGAGCTTTATAAGGAATAATTAAGTCTAAGGGCCTGTTAGGCAGGGTCCCGGGGTGCTATGTTTACAAGAGTTGTTACACTGACCTAGCTGTAGGGATTTCCTTTTAGATTCAGGAACTTAAGGTTTTCGTTTCAGCGTTTAAAGAGGGGCTGTAGGGTTTAGGCGTCTTCGGGCTCAGGGAGGGGTAAAGCTTCGCACGACCCAGGAGTTTCAGCAAAGTAGATTCTGAACCCTAATGTTTCGGGATTAGAGAAACCCTGAACCCTAAATAAACCCTTTTTGCAGCAGGCTTCTGTCGCCCTAAACCCTGAACCCTAAACTTTCTAGTCCCCAAAACACCCCTTTGGAGGAGGCTTCAGCTGCCGTCGCCCTGCACCCCAAGCCCTGAACCCTGAAGTGCAAAGTCGGACCGCGAGGAAGTTCGTCTCTGAGCAAGGCTCGCACCGACTTCGGGCAAAGGTGGTTGGGGCATCTCATGGCGAAGACTCGACGATCTAAGGCTTGAGACCTTATTTGTACGATATGTGTACATGAAAAACTGTACGTGAGTGTAAGTGTGTTTAAGTTCTACGTATATCTAAAAGATATATACATATATATATATATATATAGATATACTTATTTATTTATTTATTTATTCATTTATTTATTTATGTGTGTGTGCATGTAATTTATGACTTCTGTAATTATGTATACCATAAGGGACAGGCATGGAATGCCAAAACCCCCAGCTCAAAGCCTAATCCCAAACCCCGGCTTTCAACACCAAGCGCCACCAGCTCTGAGTCCCCAACCTCACAAACAGCCCCGAACCCCCAAACCATGGACTGTTACGAAACTTTTTGCCTCCCACTCGTAAGAGTTAGGGTTTACGGGTTTAGGGTTTACGCTCTCACAACTCGGACAAGCCAGGCGAGGTTCATGGTGCGAGGTCGGCGTGACACAGGAAAGGCAGTTCACAATGCAAGCTTCAAGCCAGGCATAACCAAAAGGGGGCTCGTAGCCACTTAACCCTTGCGTTTAATGGACAAGGCTTCGACAAGCCCTGATCCACCGAAGTTCCCGAAATCGAGACCCCAAAGCAGTCGAAAATTGCAAACCCCAGCCTGCCACGTATATATGAATCTGATTTTCCCTGACCCTAAACCCTACACCTAGTCCTGACCGGACCTTCATGGCTTGGAAGGCCATGTGAAGATTGTGCCGCTGATCTGGGGGCTGGTTGCGTGGAGGAAGCGGGGAAGCTTTGCTGAGGGACTATGTGATTTTTTTGGGAGGCTTAGGGTTTGGGGGTTTGAAGAAATGTTCAGGGTTTCGGGGTTCTGGGCTTTAGGATGTTTATCCCGAGGTTTGAGTTTGGGCTTCAGGGCTACAGTGTCCAGCATGAGGCCAAGGGTTTAGGAGGACCAGGGTTCAGGAATTCATCCGGTTACCCGGCTCGGCTGCTCGAAGCCTATGGGCCGATTGGCCGAATGCAGGGGCCTTTAGACTTAGACTAAGGAGCACTACTATTGGCCATCGGCACTTATTCCCTTTTGAAACCGGACTTGATGACTGCCAGCACTGCCTTCTCTGCCGTTCTTCAACCGAGGCCCGAAAACGTTAGCACACTAGCACTCCACTCCCTAGGAGGCACTCCACGTAACAACCACCGAATGTTGAAGCCAGATTTCCCTGACCACAAGACTCTTTATGTTGCCTTCGTTGATAGATAAACCATGATCTTCCGACTCCAAGTTAGTCCAGAAACACGGGACGCGAATCTAGAACCCTATATATATATCTCTCTCTCTCTCTCTGTATAGATAGATATAGTTATTCTCATACCTTTACATATACATCTAAACATAATTATGTATATAGTAGGCCCCTCATGTCAAGGACCGCTAAAGCAGACACTGTACCCCTACAGCCTATATTTTGAGTGTTCGGTTGCAGGGTCTTGATGTATAGACCTAGACGTAGAGCCAGAAGGACTTTTGCCAAACAAGCCTGGTATGTTTCGGATCCTGGTTCAAAGTACCGCAAGGGTCTGAACACACAAATAATCTGTGAGTGTATTTTTGTCGTATGCATTCCGTTCCAGGGCATGGTTCAATGTACCTCCAAACCAAAGTGCTAAGGTCCCCTTAGTCCCATGTTAAACCCACACCCTGGCACGATGGCTCAGGGCGTGGCAGGTAACCGTAACCTGGAAAGTGATGACCTGGGCAACTAAAGCTTGTGTACCTGGGTTTAGGGTTTGCAAGGTTTAGGGCCAAACGGTCTTAGGGCGTACAGAAGTTTAGGGGTTTGTGGTGATTAGGGGTCGTGGCATGGGCCTTTCGTTGTGGGAGGGCGGGGGGTTGAGGCTTCACAAGGGGCGGGCGACTTTTCTTTTGTCGGGCTATTTGGGCTTAGGTTTGCAGCGCGTCGCATCCGGAGACTGCGGAGGGTTCCCCATCGGCTTTCATCCTAATCGCTTCCCCCTTGTTATCAAACACCCCCCGTAGAGGGAGGGTTTCGAGGCTCCAAATACCCTTAGAGCACAGTAAGAGCAAAAGCAAGAGCAGGAATTAGAGCAATTGCAGGAGCAAGAGCAAAAGCAAAAGCGGGAGCATCAGCAAGAGCAGCGGCAAACAGCAGAAGCAAGAGCGGGAGTAAGGGCAAGAGCAGGAGCAAAAGCAAAAGCAGCAGGAGCAGGCGCAAGAGACGCAGCAGAAGCAGGAGCAAAAGCCAGCGCGAGAGTAAGAGCCGCCCCCGTTCAAAATTAGGGCGAAGCGATGAATGGTTTGGGCTGTGGGGGGTAGAGAGTTTAGGGCTTAAGGGCTACAGTCTCTACGGTTTCGCCTTTGAGTTTCGACTACGAAGACAATGCATATGCACCAGTGCAAGTCGAGCCGTCAAACCTTCACTGCTCCTGCCACCTGAACTTCGTATGCAGTGCACATCGGAGGACACATTTCAGTGATCGCATCATGCCTACCCCAGATTTCAAAATCAAAACCCCATCTGCACCCTGAATGACTTCCCAGTGAGTCATACCTTTATCACTCTTTTTGCTTGGACAAGTAGATTTGCGGGTTTAGGGTTGTGCGGGTTAGGTTGTATAAGGTTTATTAGGGGTTTGGGTTATGGGTTTGGGGTTGCTAGTTCAGCAGATCACGAGACAGCAAGCTTCCCTACCCCTCGGGCTTAAGCTGGGGAGACCTTGGAAGGATCC